CGGTCGTGGGTTCGCGCCGCGATCGGACAGGCTGGCTGCTTGGAGTTTTCCGGGTTTTCTCCTTGCCAATAACGACTAAATAGGAGGCCAGTTCCCCATAAAAGTCCTCCCGGAAGGCATTAGTTCCCCTCGCGTAACATCGCGCCCCAGAGAAGGCAACGGGAAACCACTCTGGGTAGTAACTTTCCCTAGTATACACCTTGGCGGATTACAAACCTACGCCAGGTGTCGCCGACGTCAGGAATCTGATATGGCACCAAGAAGAAGAAAATATTTTATTATTTTTTAATCAGCTAACAGATGAGTAATCACTGATTATTTTGTAATTTTTTATTGAAGCTTTTATGATAATTTTGTTATATATAATTCTATCGCAGCTGTTTTTTTTATTTATTTATTGCCTGTATTTGATTTCTAACTTTATTATAAATCTTCACAAAACTTCATTCATCATTACAAATAAATAAATCAAACTCCACTACTTATTTTAGAATATTAAAACATTTTATTAAACAAAAGAAACTTTTAATCAAATGTATGCCTATTGCCAGCTTAGAACAATTTACTTAATAGTTTAAAACGATGCAGAACTTCAGTTTTGTATGATTATTATTCTAAATTATTAAACAGATGATTCTAAGTTGAAGACAGTCAGGTATTTGACTTTTAAACCTCTGTGCACTAGAAGCCACATTCCTTCTAATATTTTTTTAGCTGCACAGAACAAACATTTCTCTGACTAGGGAATTTTCATGGGCAAAAATTAAATTCATTGGTCATTTTAATATAATTGGTATAACAAGCCAAACAAACAAATTATTTAACAATATATTGCAATGCTATAACTCATTTTACAAATAGATTTATTTATATATAAAATAAATTGCATACATTTAGCCTAAAAAATTATCCTGTAAGATTGCATATTCAAAATATTTTATAACAAAAGTGGCAGTTATAGTTTATAGACCATGTAATCAGCAATGAAATCCATATTTGTGTAGCTGTTCACCCATGTAGCTTAGAGGGAACCAAAGAAAGACAAACTTTGCTTTACTTTGCAAATGAGAAAACCATATAACTATGTCACTTAAGAATTTGGCCTTGTTCAGTAATGTAGAATGTTAAAAAAAGAAATCCGATTAGTGAAAAGAGAGAACAGAGTAAAGGATAGTTTTGTATAATTTTGAACAGCCAGTTGTGTTCAAAATGTTGGAGGAGATGAAAATAATTAAATAACTATAATTATTGCAACCAAAATTTTATCATTTTTATAAAAAAGAATATGTACAGATCTCTGTTCTCTCCATTTGTAGTTTGCCACTAATGGCCATGTGACACAAGTTGTTTTCAGAGAGTCATCTTAGTAGTGCTACATAACAATGGATGGATAATTTGTGAGAAGTAATGCCAGGTCTGGCAATTTTTCTATACTGTTATAAATTTATTCCTAAAAATATGGTTAGAATCAGGCCTAGGCAAACTAGACATTTATGATTACTGAGGGTGTGAGGGATATGATGACTAGGGCCCTCTTGATAGGAAAAAGGGGAAAATAATGTGAGAGAGAGCGGGTTATAGAGTTAGGCCCCTTGTCTCACCATTATTCGTGTATCCGATCCCAAACCAAAATAGTGTCTAAGTTTTGTGTGTGTTATTGCTAATAATCACAACAAATTGGTGCCGTGACCAGGATCTGAGATTTGACAAGATCTAGAACATTTTCAATTCACCATGAATATTACCGCTTATACCATCACTTTCACAAGTGAGACTATTGGTACCTTCCAACTCAGAATTTGGACAGATCTTGTGCCAACGAGTACGAAAGATTTACTGGTTACCACTGTTATCTGCTCCATTTGTGATCCCACTCATCACCATGTGCTTTCACCGTTATATCAACATATGCATATTGCCCTGTCTTCTCCGTTGTTGGCAGAACTGATTTCGTTATCCACTCGTCAACATCGACCAAAATAGATACTCCAAAATATCTCCAACCCACATAAATTCAAATTCCATCAATGAATTGAGCAAGCTCTGAAGCTGCTGCAATACCATAAGAATATCAGTAACAAAGACAATCAGCAAGGTTAATGCCATTTCTGACTCGGTGCTGTCTGACGAAATCAAACTGTCCCACAACATGTTGAACGAATGGCTTAGGGAATTAAAGATACTAGATGAGGCCATTCACGATAAACTCAAGGATGCAGAATATGAAACTGAAGAAATGGAAGAATCTGCCATCTTGCTGTGATTAAGAGTCCAATGGGTTCTCAACTGCAGGAACACCATATCTGGCCTGACTCCAGCATGCCCCATCAATCCAGACTCCCCTTCCCTTCCCAGTTAATTGCAGGCAGCCACTTGCACTAGGGTGCCCTCTTTGGTTCTTGAATAGTTTGAAGGTGAAATTGCTAAATGGCAACACTTCTGGGAACAGTTTACAGCAGCCATTGATGAGGAATTCAAACATACCAGACATTGAGAAGCATATCTTCCTTCGGGGATATCTCCGAGGAGAGGCTAAGTGCCTAGTAGATGGCATTGCTATAACTGCAGATATATATTCTGAGACCAAGGCACGACTATTGAAGAAATACGGCAATAAGAACCATATAATTCAAGCACACATTGACTATCTAGAGAGTCTGCAACCTTTAATCCATCCTACTGCCACTGAACTGAACGATCTCTTCATCGAGTGCAATAAAATGGTGCATTTCCTGAAAGCCCCTGGACGAGCCCATTAACCACCACGAATGCATCCTAACAACAAAAATCCTTCAGGCCTTCCCTGATGTGAATGATGGCTCAACCATGCTTGGGTACTAGTGAGTTCAACCTGGAACAATTGCTGAAGTTTGTAGGAGACAAAATAGACAGTATCATTACTGCCACTACTATCTGTGGACTACAGGATCAGTTTCTCACAAAAGAACTGTGAGGTAAGGCAGCCACTCTAGCAGTCTGGACAAGGAATAAGTCTATGGGAAGAAATACCATAGGGAGAGGATCTTCCCATCCTCCATGTGCCTTCTGCAACACCTGTGCCACAACATAAGCCATCCAGAGTTGTTCTCGGGCATGTCAATGGTCAGCTTCCTTCTTTTGTCTACAGCACTTTGTAGGGTGTCAGGGTCTTCCTCTCAAGATTTACTTGGACAATGCCAAATCTTTCCACACAGCCAACAAAGAACTGCAGGATCTATGACAATCACTCTCCGATACAGATTACCCGCTACTCTGCCCACTATGGCATCATCTGGGTCTTCAATGTGAAGAACGTGGCTTGGTGGGGAGTGTGAAGAGATGCCTCTGCAAGATACTGGGGAAAAGTCTAGTAAACACAGAACAGATGTCTACCATACTCATTGGTAGAAGCTGTCCTCAACGGGAGACCTCTGTTACACAACTATGATACTGAAGAGCCAGAGGTCCTCATACCCTCTCACTTCCTGGTAGAAAAAAGAATTACTGACCTTCCAGAGCCTAACAACCCATCCCTCACCCCACTTCTTGAGGTCATTAAGTGGGGTGGGGGATGGATTGTTAGGCTCTGGAAGGTCAGTAATTCTTGGAGACAGTGGCAGAAAGGAATATCTGCTTGAATTACAAAGCTTTCATCATGTTCACAGGGTCAGGAAGAAACTGCCACCACCCTGTATAGGAGATCTTGTTCTTAAGGAGGACTGTCTGCCTAGACAGATGTGGAGGACAGCCATAATTGAAAAGCTGATCACTGGCCATGATGGTTGTATCCATACCTGCCATCTGAGGTTTCCTGATCAGAAGCACATCAGCCATCCCATCCAATTGGTCCTTCCATTAGAAGCAGAGGACTAAGGTGGGGAGGATGTGAGGGATATGACGACTAGGGTGCCTGTCAATGGAAAAAAAAGGGAAAATAATGTGAGAGAGACCGGATTATAGAATAGGCCTGTTGTCTCACCATTATTCATTTATCCAATCCCAAACTGAAATAAAGTGTCTAAGTTTTACGTGTTCATACGTGTTTATTATTCATAGTCTCAACCTTTGTGTGTTATTGTTCGCAGTCACAACAGAGGATACAGATCTGAGACAACCATGAATTGATTTGTAGACTTTCATTTCTTGATATGTAAATTTACATTTTTAATGAACAAAGTGAATATTTTCTTAAACCAACTAACTTTCAGGCTTTCATTTAGAGGCATTTATTATACACATATTTCAAGATTCTCACTCTTCTAACAAAGAATTTATATTGTATAAACTAAGTATGTACTCTTGTCAAGTGGGACAAGAGTACACACTTAGTTTATACATTATAAATTCTTTGTTAGAAGAGTGAAAATCTTGAAATATGTGTATAATAATTCTCAAACTGTCTTTTTTACGATTCTGTGGGACTTTTATTGATATTTTGAATATATGTCATTTAACAAATGTTTTTTTCAAAAGGTTACAAAAGAGCACTTTTGCCCCTCCAGTGGGGCAAAAATGCATACATGGTAGGGTAAAAGTAAGTTTGCAGGACAAGGTTTTTGTGAAAAGCTAAGCAAAGTGTGTATTGATGAACAGAATTTAATAAAAAAAAATAATTTTTCATTAAATTAAATTTTTAATTTTTTTTTCAATTAAACAATTTTTGCACATTCTCCAATCCTCACATGGAGACTTCTGTACGCTTTCTCACATCCTTGGCAGAGAACTCTCTTTGGTCTGATATCTCCTCTTTTGGATCAGGAAAGCCACTATCTGTGTAAAGTGATTTATGAGTAACTTTTCCTGGTTTGTTGTTTGTCATCTTTGATATCTTTCTCTTCTGCTCTTCACTCTAAATTATTCTTAAAAGGCCAGCTTGTTATTATTTTAGATTTTTTCCCTCTTTCTTCCTTTTTCATTGCATAACCTTCCTTTTTGGGAGTGCTATGATTTCCACAGAAAAGACTGGGTGAAATCATTGGGTCCAGAAGTAGATGGAAATCAATAAAGAAGCCCCATCATCTGGAAGAATGGATTCGCATCTATTCCTCCAGATGATGTGGCTTCTTCATTGATCTCTGTTTGCTACTGCAGATGTTTGTTTCTTTATCAATGTGCATATCTGTTACTGCACAAGGTGTAAAATCCTCATCTGTAAACATGTTTGCATGTGCATTTTTGTCCCTTAGTGGCATGCAAATATTTGTCCTGCAACATCAATTTTTTCAAAAACAGATACTGCCATCTACACCAAGAACATTTCTAACTTAAATGTTTAGTCCATAATGCACACAAGAAACAAGTTTATCAAAATATCTAGGGAATGATTAAGTTTATAAGTACGTAAACAATCAAAATATTATATCAGAAAGATGATAAATGAATCTTCTTGATTTCAAAACTATTCACGCCAAGTTGGTTGTTGTTGAGCTTTCAACAATTCAGCAAGAGAACTTTTAATGCCAACTTGACATACTACTAATTATATTCCCACTGTGCACTTTACCCTACTCTTCTCTATTACCAACACCTGTAAACTATTGATAGAGGATTGGATTGGTTGGAAAATTATCAGATTATATTGACAGAATTCAGAACCATATCATCTCTACTAGCTATGTTTGTTCGATAGTTATTTAAAAATGGCTTAGAACTTTATCATGCATTCTATACAACTTTAAATGAACAAACCAGATTTAAATTTTAGAAGTCAAAAATACTGCTATTTGTTAAGTGCTTTTGGAGAAGCCTCCAAAAATTAAATGTAGTATTTACATTAGAAAAATTTTGAATAGGCTACAATCTCTTACTATGTGAAAAAAACTTAATTTTTATATAACAAACCAGGTGTAGGTCTGTTAGCTGCAAAATTAGAATCTGGTTGGGCTGCAATTTGAAAATTGTAGACATACAAATTTTACAAAATGCTGTGTGGGTGGTGTATGTGCATCTATTTTGCATTATATCTCAGGACTGCATGAACCAAAAATTTTGATTTTTGGCAGGGCTATTTCTATATATCAGGCATTGATGCTATTAAATTTTGGTAGTTAAAGAAATGGGGAGATAGATAGGGGTCATGTGCCATATCTTGAGTGGTCAGACTTAATGAAAATTTTACTCATTTATTAGCAATTATAATTTATTTAAAACTCACTTTTGTTCTAAAAATAAGCCTTTTACCTTGTTATAATAATTAATAATATAAAAATTGTTTTTTAATAAAATCTTATAACAGACGGTGCCATACAGAACTTCAACTTTGTAAATTGTGAATGTTGGGAAAGTTGTACAAGAGTCCTTGCCAGCTTTATTGATTTCTGCATTTATCTGGGCTTTTGCCTAAGACTTTTGTGGTTGTTTTTCTTCTTTGTTGATAACTTTATACCATTATAAGAGTTGGTTTTCAATTTTACTGTTAGGCCCTGTACACACTAGGCGTTTTTCAATGCGCGTTAAACGCGCGTTAGCTCGGCGTTCAACGAGCGTCAGTTCGACGTTTAGCACTGGCTCAGTTTGGAAATGGACGAGAAAGTAATTGATTGTGTGTGCTCCTCCATCGTCGCTATAAGGCAGCACATATATCTCAAAGCGCCCGTAAAGTGCCCGCAAAATGCGCGTTTTAACAAAAATCTATAAACGCGCGTTTAACGCACGTTGAAAAATGCCTAGTGTGTACAGGGCCTTAATGTAAACTTACTTTCAATCAATTAAAATATAATTTTTATAATAATTTTTTTGTCTTTCAGTTGAAAATGTGGATTCAGTTTCTCATACCCAGAATAGAAGATGGTAATAATTTTGGAGTATCCATACAAGTAAGTTGTCCCATCTTATCATTTTTTAAAATAATAATAAATATTATTTCAAAAATTATTTTGTAGCTTACATATACTTGAAAATATCTGTTCTTAAAGTGTAAAAGTTAGTTTCAAGCCATTTATATTTATCTTAACAAGTGTTAATAATACTGTTTAACTTTTGGCTGGTTTTTAGGAGGATACTTTGGGTGAAATTCGGACTGTAGAAGGGGAAGCAGCAGCATATTTAGATCAAATTTCAAGGTATTTTCTTACAAGGGGAAAAATAATTGCCAAAGTAGCAAAGTATCCACATGTTGTAAGTTAAAAAAAATAATTAATTTCTTTACAATAGTTTTAATCAAATTTTCAAAAAGAAAATAAATATTTTATTTCAAAATATCTAGGATGATTTTAGACGGACAGTGCAAGAATTAGATGAAAAACAGTATGTGAGCGTGAGACTTGTACTTTGTGAATTGAGAAATCATTACGTGAGTAAATAAACAACAAAATTTGTTCTAAGTTTATTTTCTTGTGCAAGTTATATCAAAAAAAAATTTTTTTTAGGCAGCACTACATGATATGATTACAAAAAATCTTGAAAAAATCAAGAAGCCAAGAAGTTCCAATAATGAGACAATGTATTGAAACAGAAACTTTTTGTTTCCAAGTTATGTATTTTAAGTGATGTCTCATTGCCCTCTGTACTTTAAAATATTATTTAAAAGTTCAGATATATTGTAAATGAGTGCTTTGTGACATTTTTACATATCTGTACATGATTTATTCATCCTCTACCAATAAATCAGACAGTTTGAAGTATTTAAGACAGTTCACAGTTAAGTATTTTTATCTGAAACAAAAACTGTAAATTAAAGAATTAAAAATAAAATCATTGAATAGATAAAATATAGTTATGTGAATCACAAATAGTATTATTTGAATATGATTTTTTTTATAATGTTCATAAATTGGATTGTTTACAGCAGTCTTAAGGTGTATTTTTTTGTTGGTATTATAAATTTGCTCAAAAAATTTTAAAATAAAAATGCTTTGCTTNTCCAGTTAAAATGAACAAACATTTTCAACTATCTTTAGCAGTCATCTTCAGGTTATGGCATGTTATATGGAACAAAATTGAAAAAAAAAAAAAAATTGAATTTTGTTCTATATAACATTTTATATTTAATTGGAATAACACCTAAAAATGTTTAAATAAACGTTATTAAGATAAAATATAGTTATGTGAATCACAAATAGTATTATTTGAATATGATTTTTTTTATAATGTTCATAAATTGGATTGTTTACAGCAGTCTTAAGGTGTATTTTTTTGTTGGTATTATAAATTTGCTCAAAAAATTTTAAAATAAAAATGCTTTGCTTATTTGTTAATGAATGTCATTTTAGAGAAAGTTTATTTATATACAGTTTTGTTGATAAACAGGATCAAATCAATAAAATTATTCTTTTTCATAAAAAGTATTTGATTTATAAAAGTTAAATATTTATATCCATCAAATACTAATATGAAAATAAATAGAGAGCGTTGTTTTATTTAGCATTTTTGCATATGTCTGTTGAAAACATAAAATGAAATTTTTTTCTTTTAATACTACTATCATTTAGTGTTCAAAATATTGATAATTTGCTACATTTACTGGAAATATTAATGTTTAGGAAAATTTAATGATTCAAAAGTACTTGCTGTTTTATTTTAAGAAATTTATAATTTAACTATATTTGTTTATCCAGAATATTTATTTATCTACCCTTTTAAGATTGTATTATATATACTAGCATACCCGTCGCGCATTGCTGCGATCTCAGAAGAAAGGAAATTCAAGCAAACTCGTTATGATAAAATTAAATTTACATTTTATCATTTTCATTGAAACTTATTATTATTATTCATTTTCATCGGGAAAACATTTCAAAGTGTCGTTTCAATTTTATTTATTTATTTATTGGAGTGCTTTGTGGATACACGATATTTTTTTGTTTTTCCGTCTGGTGCGTACACGAATAAATCAAAAGGTTTTCCGACGCGTGAGTTGGCCACATACAGTTGTCCAAGCGAGAAGCACGGATTCTTTAAATTTAGCCCACATACTCGCAGAAATTGTTAGAACTGCGATATTTCCCATTTTTATATATATTTTTTAAATCCTTCATAATTTTGATTATTTAATTGCTCCTTCCTCTCTTCCTTGGCGTGTTGTGAAATTTCTCATAGTTGGATAATAAACCGTTTTATTGTAATTTGTCTTTTTAAATTATTTTGAGTTGATATTAAAATTTGGAAAAGGGGGATTCCTAGATCGGTAAAATAGGCGAATTTCCTTCTACAACTTCGGTTGTTGTTCATGATACAGTTAAGGCTTTAACAAAGTTCGAGCGATTATGTAATTAGCAGAAAAAAAAAGTTGAAATAAAGTGATTAAACAAAAATTATAACAAATATCGTAAATAATAAATGCATATATACAGATATTTTTTGGAGGGGGGAAATGGTCTTCACAATTTGAAATCGATCGAACACACTGTGCTCAAATGCTCGTGTAAACGCGCACCATCTATCGTAGGGTAAATGCCAGAAACCTTCGCGGGAGTGTATTTAAAAAAACTTCCCAAAGCTTCATGGCATTCATACTACGCCACAAACCTTCGCTGGAGTATATTAAACAAATCGGATAAACGGTTGGTAATGCATGAAGGACACACACACACACATACATACATTTTTTATATATATAGATAATGTATTTTCTTAGTGTTTTCTTTTTCCACTAATCTCAGTATTTAAGGAATGTATAAGAATTTAATTATCCAATCAATTAGCAAAATAATTTTTTTCTAATTTATTCTTATATCACATATAGAATGTTTCTTTAATGAATAGCTAGATAATATCAAACTGATTACTATTTTTCAATTAATTTATGCTTTAATATCTTTTTAATGTAAATTTAATTTAATAATTTTCTTATAAGTTTGCTATTAAAGTTCATAAAACACTGTATTAGGATTAATTTATAATTTTAGAAAGAATTAAAGACTAAAAGTTTTACTACAAATATAAGTGCAATGACAGCTTTCTGAGGTTAGACTTTACACCAGTGTTTCTCAACGGGGGCGTTTTTCCATGTTCAGGGGCGATTAGTAACAATTTATATTTTGGGGGCGAAAAAACAATTTTCTGGGCAATATAGTAAAACATTATATTAAGAATAATTAGATATTTTATTCGTTATATCGAACAACAATTAAACAAATAACATTATACTAGTCACTAGTCTATTCGATGCGGTAAGAATTTGGTGTTAGCCTTGTCCCTCGGCATCGGAATTTTGTAGCGAAGGGGGCGATACTACGTAACGGTTTTACTGAAGGGGGCGACGATTCGTTAGAGGTTGAGAAACACTGCTTTACACCATTTTAGGAATGTAGACAAGCTATGAATTCAGTATATCACTTTTATTAAGGTTTTCTTTGTTATGCATTTAGGACAGAGACTCTCTTCAGCCAACTTATTCTAATAGCGAAGTAAAACCAAATTTGCATACTCTACTATATATAAACTGTGTTGAAGTTTTCCCTTCCCTTTCTTGACAATGTTCTTTGGATACTTGAATTGGTACATGCTGAATTTTTAATTTACTATCACTGTTAATGTTTCCGAAGATATAATGAAGGATAATATGACATTCATATTGTCAGTTTTTTATCCTTCATTATATCAACTATATCTTTGGAATAAAAGCACCAACTAACATCTGTAATCCAGTTAAAATGAACAAACATTTTCAACTATCTTTAGCAGTCATCTTCAGGTTATGGCATGTTATATGGAACAAAATTGAAAAAAAAAAAAAAATTTGAATTTTGTTCTATATAACATTTTATATTTAATTGGAATAACACCTAAAAATGTTTAAATAAACGTTATTAAATTTGAAGACTCAACTGTTTTTTCTTTTTATAGATTAGTCTTAAGAGCTAAAGTCTGAAAGCAACAACAACTGGTTGATAGGAAAGTTAGGACAATGTTCTTTGTCCTATCAGTTTTCACTAAAGTAAACCTGACGAAAAGCTCGAAATAATTCAAAAATTTCAATATTCTAAAATCCGTGGGAAAATTTAAGACAATGCGTACTTGCTTGAATTTTAAAAAATATCGAAAAATGAAGTTTTAAAATTGTAAAATTTTGTACGGAGAATTTCCAAACTGCATTGTAGGAGAGATACCTATATATATGTTACTAAATAAAAATGTATATTCCCTTGCACTCTGTGCCCACCAGTGGACTGGACTTGTGGAGTTTTCCAGGTTTCTTTGAAAGTCTAACACCTAAGTAGAGGATAATTTCCCAAGAGAGTCCTGGAAAGCACCCTAGCAGGTTGACTAAATGCATTGACATACTAGACGATTTTTGTGGGAGACTTTTCGCCGGGCAACACAAACATTAAAAAATATAGCAACAAGTTGCATAACTTTTCCGGCTTTCATGAGATTTTATTTTAAAAATAACATATTTATTTTGATTAATAGCGCCACATACAATTTAGCGTTGTATTATCTGTTATGAGATTTTGTAATAAACTATATATTTTTAATTATTACAAATGGCACAAGCAATTTTGAGGGCAGAGATGAGTTTTATAAAATATTGTGAATGCTAACCACAAGTAAAATCTTCATTAAGTCTAACCCCTCGCCAGATATGACACGTGACCACCCTCTCTCCATCTCCTTGACCTTTCACAATCGAAATTTAATAGCATCAACCCCCTAATACGAACCTTCCTCCATTTTCATCAATTTTTGACAAAAAGCACAGGAGTTAGCTTTAAACAGGGTGAACAAAATTGTGCCCTCCCACTAACATACATAAAAAACCTCGAATTTTTTTGCATTTCTAGATGTTTCAAAGTCTCCCAGTCCAAAAACGTTAAAATCGTGGGGTCATTTTTTAACTGCTATACTTTTCCTCTGTTATATACAATGAGAAAGTAAAAATGAAAAATTATCAGTGGCGTGCCGTCATTACAAGCGGTGGATGCGCCGCTTCCCTTGTATTTTCTAAAAAATAAATACATATTAATTTTAATTATACGAAAATAATCGCACAATATTTTATTATAACCGCATTATGTATCTTATTACAAAGTTCTATACTACACGTGAAAAAAAAAGATAAGATTACTATCGTATATTCGAATACTGTATTAGTAGCGGAGTGGAAACGCTGTATTGTCAGCATCCAAAAGCCAGATTCGCGCATGCGCTTTACAGAGCATCAACTTAACCCGGTTTAGCCGGTGGAAACCTAGGACCTTGGGTGGCTGCTACACATATAACGCATCCAATTCTATCTAGGACCGGTTCCGGGCTGTTAGCCGCCCACCTGCTAGATATTTGGCTGCCCTCGCCCGATTACGTGAATCACGAGTATATTTATAACTTAACCCAACCGATAAGAATTTACCTGTATGTCTTTAGTTTTCTGTATAGTTGACAGGAGTTTTTAAAAAATCCGTTAAAATATTTGATATATTTATTCCGCTCTCCGATTTTATATTACAGTAGAGCGTCGTTTATCCGAAAGGATTACAGTCGGCAAATTTAAATTTTCGCTACTGCTATGGCGCTGCAATCTTTGGCTATGTCTTGGGCTACTCCAATATTTTTTTTGTTGGTGTGTGTGTTTTAACTGGCAGCACTGGCACTTTTGTGTGGTGTTTTTCTGAGGACTGTGTGTAGTGCTGAATCGAACGTTTTTGATACTAGAGCAACTTCTAAAGTATATATTTTTTTGTTTTTATATTTTTCAATATATTTATTTTGTTTGTACAAAATAAAGAAATAATTTTTAACGATACAATAGCCACGATTATTATTTTTAAAAGTTTACGTTTCACTTAACATCGACGAAAATTCAACGCGAAGCGACACGCAACGGAGAAAAATTTCAACAAGGGATAGGTTAATATATTTTTTCGTACATAATCGGTTATCCGAAAAATAAG